CGTGCTGTGTTTGTGGGGTCCCTGGGCTTCCCCAGGAGAGTGGGTGAGTATCTCTGAGTGGCGCGTGCTGCGTTTGTGGTTGCCAGCCCTGTGAGCTCCCGAGTTCCCTCAGGGGCAGTCTTGGTGGTGGAGCAGGAGACTAGAGCACAGTGATGATTTCACTTCCCTGGGGTGTTCAAATATTCCTGCGCAACTCGCCTGACTGAGGCTGAGGCTGTGGTCTCCAAAAGTTGTCCCCACAGGCTCTGACAGAATCAGTGATTTCTCATCCCTTTGGGCATCATCTGGTCACCATGTTGGACCAGTTCCTTGGCTTGGGGAATAGATGGCAGGCAGAGCTGGCCAAGACCCAGGACCAGGTTTCCGTGGGGATAGGTTTTGCGAGTGCCTGAGGTCAACAAGACCTTTGCAGGCAGCACTGGGGACAGAAGACAGGGTTACTTTTCATGCTTAACTCACTCCTGTTACAGAGTTGGCTCAGGGAGGGCTGGAGGAGCCTTTGAGGTTACCCAGAACACTGGCGACTCTCTGCTTACTCCCCATCCTGCAGACCTATTTGCCAGGGTTTTCTTCTCTGCCCAGTGCTCCCCAGTGAAGCTGACCACTGGGGCTTCTTTGGTCTTCGGTTCCCAGTCGTGTGCAGCCAGGGGAAGGGCATCAGAGAATGGCGGGAGAGAAAAGTTGGGTATTTTTCTCACACACCCCTCCTCCAGTTTTGGCAGTGGCTGTGTCTCCCTGGTGATAGCTCAGCTCTTGGCTCTCACTGGTTCCATGAAAACTCTCCTTCTTTTGCCCCTTTGGGTTTAGGGGGTGAGGCTCCCCACTATCGCTATCTCTGTCGGTTCCCTGCACCATCTCCCTTGGTTCCTTCAACCCTGCCCCTTCGTTAAACTTCCAACTTCGTTATCTTTCCAATAACTCCTGTTGGGTGGTCACTTGCCTTCCCGCCTTCCCACGGAGACCTTCCTGGTGCACCGAGCCTGCCTTGTGCTGGGAACACACACATTCTCCCTCCTCCTGCTCCTTAACACTCCCTCCAGCCTCCCCGTGCGGTACTTGCAGAATCTTCTCCGGTTGTTTAAAAATCACCTCTTCATGCATAAAACAAACAAATGAGACACATCTTACATATTTAGCAGAGCTTGGCGCTCACTGAGGGTTTAACAAACATTTGCTGACATTTTGCTGTTATTGTTGCTGTCATGTTAAATATGTATAAAAATCAGGAGATTCTGGAATGGAAATAGAAGCCCTCACTTGAAATTAAAGGGCATGACTTCAACATTGTGAATAGGACATGCCATTCTACCTAATATTGAAATATTGGACCTGTGCCAATTATTAATCATTGGTGTGTTTTGTAGTTAATATTGTCCTGTATTTTTCAAAGCAAGTATTATAGTTGGGGGGTTTCTTATTCATTTTAAGTTGAAATATATTCCAAGATTGGAATGAGGGGAAAATAGGAAGTACATAATGCTTAATAAGTCAGTGTCTTGTTTTATCGCAATGGTGCTTTAAAATCAGGTATACAAGCTGGGTGCAGTAAATTATCTCTGTAATCCTAGCACTCTGGAGGCTAAGGACACTGGATTGCCTGAGCTCAGGAGTTCAAATCTGTGAAAGAGCGAGGCCTTGTCTCTACTTAAAATAAAAAACCAGTTGAGGGCAGCGCCTGTGGCTCAAGGAGTAGGGCGCCAGCCCCATATACTGGGGGTGGTGGTTCAAGCCTGGCCCCAGCCAAAACTGCAAAAAACAAACAAACAAACAAAAAAAACCCCAGCTGGTCATTGTGGCAGGTACCTGTAATCCCAGCTACTTCGGAGGCTGAAGCAGGAGGATCGGTTGAGCCCAAGATTTTGAGGTTGCTATGAGTTATGACACCATGCCACTCTACCCAGGGCAACAGAGTGAGACTCTGTCTCAAAAATACATACATACATATATACATAAATGGTTAAAAAGTGAAAAAAAATCTTCAACAGGACCTTTCCTGACAAGTCTCTAAAAGCAGTGCCCCTTGTTCTCTCTCACAGTCTCAGCTTGTGCCTTTCATAGCAGTCACATTTTGTAACCATGATTTTGTTTGTTCTGGGGCCTGGTCTGATGTGTGCACAGCTGCGTCCTCAGTGCAGCGTCTCAACAAGCAGACTGACTAGGATGCTGTATCACAGAGGCCCCAAACACAATAGCTTCAATGACAGTTTATTCTGTTCACATGTGTAACTTCAGCACACACTAATGGCTAAGGGGTCCAGGCAGGCTTTGTAACCAGCCCCATCAGCAAGAAAACATGTTTCACATTTTTTTTTTTGTAGTTCTCTTTTGTTTCCAGTTCCCAGGCCAATAACAGCTGACCGGAACTTGGTAACTTTCTGTCACATGAATGCGTTCCCTTTTGAGTTGCTTTCCCAGGAATGGTGGAATCTCCTTGCAGCCATTAGATAACTACACAGCTTTATAGCACCTGTTTGTCCAGAAAAGACAAGTGATATACCTCCACAGATTGTGCCCAAGGACCCACTGAACTTGTGCAGGAAACTGAAAGGATGACCAGTATTAACCCCCAGCTTCTTCCATTACTAAATTTTTTGTTCCTGGGATGTGTATACTAACATGATTCCTCCCTGCACTTGTGTGCCTTCCCCTCCCAGCAGATGCAACTCCTGAAATAAATCCTTTCTTCCTTGACAATTCTTGTTGTCCGAGTAATTGGCCCCTTGTGGCTTCATTAACAGCATGGTGGTTTGAAGGTGTTTCCAAGCCACTTCCCTCCTTAGCTACCAGGATACAAATTATAAAATCCTCTTCCCCGGACCAGTCTTTCCCTCTTTGGCCTCAACTTCTAGTTCCAGGCTTCTCCAGACTCTCATTCTCCCGGCTAGAGGCTCATCTGTGTGGCTTCCAAACCGCAGAGCAAGTTCTTTTTCATGTATGACACAGGGCCACTGTATACACTGTGTCACTTGTGTCATTATTAAATATTCCCTTTTCCCCCCTCTGTGACTATAGTTTATCTATATCCTTGACAGCTGGGCAAGTTATCTCACCATTCTTTGCCTCAGTTTCTTCATCCATAAAATGGGATAGCTATAGTTTGCCTCCTAGGGTTGTTATAAGAATTCATTGAGCATAATAAAGGTTTAGAATTGAACATGACAGGTGTTCTCTAAGTAATAATTAACATTATTATTTCTTGATTCTCTCGACTTCCCCATGAGGTAAGTAGGCAGTTGTCACCTCGTTTTCAGATATAGAAATGAAGGGAGCTGAAGCAACTCAGCCAAAGCCACTGTGCTGCTAATAGGTGGCTGAATCTGAGTTTTATCCAGGCCTGAACTTCAGTTACCTAATAATAATATTCGGGTAATGATGGCATCCCTCATAGGCTTAGGTTATGAAAATCAAATGCTATCATTCAATCAAGTGGCCAGCATGTGGCAGGCACTCCCCAAAAGTCCGTTTCCTTTCCCCTTTACAATGCCTCACCCAGCCACACTCACGTCCCCACAGAGCCACCAGGGATCCCAGCTGCCCTGCCCCTGGCAGTCCTCTGGTCAGCTGCTTCTGTTTGGTTGGCGGGGACAGCTGGGCCCACAGAGAGTTCCATTGTCTCTATCCTCTAGGGCTCTATTGTTGGGGACTCCGCCTAGATCTCATCCACACAGACACCCACAGCTGTTGCTTGGGCTCTTCTTGGCTTTCCCTGGGGAGGCGCTTTGGGATGGGAACAGAGGAGTCTGTATCCAGATCCTGAAGACCGATCCCCAAGCCTGTCCTACGGGCCAGGAAACTGAGGCTCAGAGAGCCTACGTGACTTGAGGGAGAGTGCTCGTCTCTGTCAGAGCCGCCAAAGACGCTGGGGGTGGTGTGTGCGTGTGACCGTAAGTTCAGAGATGGCAGGGCCAGAGCAACCCTCCCGTCCCCACATCTTATTAATGGAAACAGGCCCCAAAACGCAGACTGTTGGCCAAGGTCACATGGCAAAGCCTCGGCACAGTCAGCAGCGAAACCAGATGTTCCAGACTCCCAGGATCCTGCCAGTTCCTACCAGGTTTGGGAACAAGCTGAGCAGACCGGGGGCTGGGGCCCCAGAGTGACCACGCCTCTGGGCGGGGCGACGCCGTACGGTCCACCCCGCCCCTTCGCTGTACTTCACGGAGAAATCTGCGCTGCGCTCTCTCTAGAAGAGGGGTGTGGCTTTCTGAGCCAGGAGGGATTCCACTGGGTATTTGTCTGCGGCAGGAGGGACTTTGCGCTTGATGGGCGTCGGGGGCGTAGCCTCCTTCCCGGGAGCAAGTGGCGCGCAGGACACCGCCCCTTTATGACGTGCGCGGGCGGGGCGGAGCGAAGTGGAGCCCGCCGGAGCCCCGCCCCCAGAGGAGGCGTGTCCTGGGCGGGCCCGTCCCACCGGCGCCCGGTCCCGCCCGGTGGCGGAGCGGCGGCCGGCGCAGGGAGGGCCAGCCCCGGGATGTGAGTGCGGCGCGGGTGGGGGCGCAGGGTGGGACGCCAAGCCGAGTCTCATGGGTCGCCGTAGGCCGAGATGTGGGTACGTGGGCGGCCGGGTGGGCCCATCAGGTACGGACCCAGGTATGTAGGGCTAGAGAGCTCCCGGGTCGGTGCTCCTAGGCCTGCCCCGCTCTCCTTCTCTGCCGCTCGAGGCCTGACCCGGAGGGGGCGGGCGACGTGCGCGGGTCTGACGTCTTCCCTAGCCCGGGCCCGGCCAGCTGCGCAGCACTCCCCACAGTGGCAGCAATTGTAGCGGGTTTCTGGTCCCTGTGTGGTGGCTATGAGGGGGTAATGGGGGGATATGGGGGATGGTCAGCTGCTCTGCGGGGCCCGAAGTGACCCCTACCACTCGCCCCGGGTTAGGCCTCAGCTCCCCCCCGCAAGTCTCGACTTGCAGTTTCTGAGCGCTGTCTGTTCCTTCTCAGCTGCATCATTTCAATCCTGACAGCAGCCGCCTGTTTCACAGCAAGGCCTAGGACCATACAGATGTTGGGTGTAATTACTGTAGTGTAGAGGTGAGGCGCTGAGGCTTGCAGCGGAAACACCTGGGTGCACACCTGCTTCTCCACAGACCTGCCCATGACCTTGGGCACACCTGGTCCCCTCTCTGTGCAATTGTGGGGTCTGCCTCCCAGGGCTGTTGTGAGGGTGGGGTTGGAAGTGGGTTCAGGGAAAGGCATCCAGTACCCAGTGAGGAGCTGTTGTTGTCCCATGGCGCTTTTCTGTTGGCCATAGGGGCCAGCGGCGCTGGGTCAGGGCTGCCGGGTCAATACCAGTGGGCTCTGGAGAGGGAGGCTGCCCTCACCTGTGTGTCTGTTCTTTTGCACATGGTAGGCTACACCCAACACAGCTGTACCAGCATGTGCCGGAGACACGCTGGCCGATCGTGTACTCACCGCGCTACAACATCACCTTTATGGGCCTGGAGAAGCTGCACCCCTTTGACGCAGGGAAATGGGGCAAAGTGATCAATTTCCTAAAAGGTATGGAAGGCTCACCTCAGACCCTATATCTCCTTCCTCTAACCCATCCGTGTTCCCCATCCTTATTCCAACATAAGCTTTAGCTCTCCTGGCTCTGGTTTTGGCCCTCAGACTGCTTTCCACCTGTGCTGTATAAAGGATGTTTCCAACACAGACCCCTATGCCTATGTTCCTGTCTCAAACTCTCACTGGTTCCCATTGCTGTGGGCCCCCAGAGACCCAGTGGAAGAGGAGCGGAAGTTGGGGGAAGTCCAATGTCCATTCCCTGAAGTTTAGAAAGTCCAGGAGGTAGAGGACCTTTGCCCTAACCCCCTTGATTACAGATGGGGAAAATCGGGGCCCAGAAAAGTTAGGAAACATGCCCAGTCATATAGGGCAACATGCTAAGAGGTACCCCCCCCCCATTCACAGTCACTCCACTGAGCAAAGTGATAAGCTGATGCTATGGAGAGCACGTTGATTTTTTTTCTTTTTTTTAAACTGTGGGTTGTAATTCAGGAGCCTGACTTAGATGGGAAATTCAGGCATCATAATAGGCACACACATGGATATTCTTGTTTTCTGTATGAAGAGCTCCTTAATTAAGAGAATTAGGAAATGTTACCTGGTATAGGATAAAACTGAATATTTTAAAAATTATACAACCTTGTGATCACATTTTGGAGAAAGTTCTGCAGCTAGGCCATTTTTCTTTCTTTTTTTTTTTTTTGAGATAGTCTCACTGAAATCTCAAACTCCTGGGCTCAAGCCATTCTCCTGCCTCAGCCTCCCCAATAGTTGAGACTATAGGCAACCACCAAAACACCTGGCTAGTTTTTCTACTTTTAGTGGAGACAGGATCTTGCTCTTGTTCAGGCTGGTCTCAAACTCCCGAGCTCAAGAGATCCTCCTGCCTTGGCCTCCCAGAATGCTAGGATTATAGGCATGAGCCACCGTGCCCAGACCCATCTCCCTTTTCACCAAATCTAGAGCAAGCCTCAGGTTCTGTGTCTTACAGAAAATAAGATGGAATTAGAGATTGATAACACTCCTTGTTTCCACTGTACTTTTTAAAAATTTTTGATTAACTTCTACTTATGGCAAATGATACTGATTTTCCATTTGTGGTACTGACCAGAATGAGCAAAGAAAAATACCAAGAGCACCAGTGGTGTGCAGTGATGGTGAGAATGCTGGCAAGGTGAGCAGGCCAGCCTGCCTCCCACCCTGAAGTGGTTCTCTTGCCTTCCTAAGGATGATCCTTATACCCTATTCCCAGCAAACCCAGCTGGAGTCCTCCTCCCAGGGTTCCTACATCACCCAGTAGCTTGACAGAAAGGTTCCTTATTTCTGTCATCTCAGAGCCACCAGTTGGCCTGAGTTCCCTCCTGTCTTCTCTGAGGATGAGAGGAAGGGAAATAGGGGCCATATGGCAAAGGGCTTCTGATGCTGTGCAGGAAATGGCCCTTGGCCAGAAGGCAGTGGAAACCCTGGAATGTTCTGAGAGGGGAGTACTGCCTGGAGCCTATATGTGTGGAATTAGTTGATTTCTAAGGGTGACTCATTGAGACAAGTCCCCTCGATTCTGATTTCCTAGAACTCAGCATCGTGGTCTAGTTCTCGGTGGCCTAGGCTTCCTGCTCTCAGTCTCAGTTTTTCCTTTTGCAAAATGGAGTGAATCTAATCTTGTCTCAAGTATGTAAGAGGGGAGGAAATAATGTGGTGTTTCCCAAATATCAGTTGCAAACCACTCTTGGGACCCTGCCATCTCCTCATACCACCTGTTCCTTTATTTACTTTATATTTTTAATGATTTGGCCTCTGGGAGAAAAAGAAAACCACTTGTTTTAGAAGGGATCATTGTGTCTTCCAAATGGGAAAAGGCAGTTTAACTTGCCATAAATAGAAGGTCGTGGTTAAAAAAAAAAAAAAAATGCAGTGAAAACAGAGTAATTCAGTTTGAGCAAGGCTTAGGCAGGTGTCAAGGTGATGTCCTCAGGAGGTAGAGGGAGAATTTCTAAGAAGAACTTTTCTGATCTTGGAAGTTAACATTGTTGACCCTTGTGCCATTTGCCTTGGAAAGTTGTCCAGTCACATCTGAGCTCACCTTGTGGTGCTCAGTGCCTTGAGAAGCACAGGGGTCACTGTACACTATATTCAAGGGTCTCTGAATATTGCCCACAGTGGCTGGGGAGGCAGCCCCTTCTCCAAATGCCCACAAGCTGCAGCGTCTACCTTCTCCTGGGCACAGGCTGCCGGAGGCTAAGTCTGTAGCCTGTGGGAGGGGTTGGGGCTGGGCCTGGCCTTGAGGTCAGTGGGGAAGCAGGGTGCTCACTTTGTGGTTTCAGAAGAGAAGCTTCTATCTGACTGCATGCTGGTGGAGGCGAAGGAGGCCTCAGAAGAGGACCTGCTGGTGGTACACACGAGGCGCTATCTCAACGAGCTGAAGGTACAGGACAGTGGGCCAGGGGGCTGTGACCTGGAGGAGTGGCCAGAGGAGGGGGATAGCTCAGCCTGGGGAAGCACAGCCTCAAGGGGCATCCATTCCTGTCCCTGCTGCAGCGTGGACACATGAGTCTGTGGTCCCTAAGAGGAAAGAGAGTTTCATTAAAAGGGAGATTCCAGGATGGACTAGACTTCTCTGGAGTAGTGAGCTGCCTCCTCCAGTGGGTATGAAACAGGGATGTCTGCTGGTGGAGACTGGATCTGAGTAGGGGCTTTGGGCTTCTACGTTAGCAACCATCAATCTGTATCTTGTGGACAGGCCTCAGAGACCCTTGCTGGGATGGTGGGGAGCAGGGGGACTGTCTCCTCTTGTTTCCATCCAACCAAAGCTCTTCCACTTTGGCCTATTTTTCTCTTGGGCTGAAGTTTAAGATTATGTTCCAAGGACTTTTGCTAAAGACATATGGGAAATTGTTGGGCTGAAAATTAGTTTGAAACCTTTCAGGGCCCAGAAGGGAACATAAACAAATAAGCAGATCAGTGGGGGTCTCTGAGGTGACCTGGAGAACTCCTGCCCCTTGCCAGATAGGTGGCTACTACTTACTGGCTCTTGCAGGGCCAGAGCACTTGTCTTCAAAGAGAAGCCAGGTTATTAAGTCACATTTCCTAGTTTCTTAATGTTGCTGCTCACTGTAAGGTTTTTTTATCCTACTTGTAGACCCACTGAGCATGGCTGCAGTTTGTGGCCTCTTTCTATAGGAGGCTGCAGAGCTCCTGCTCCTGCTCTGGATAGGATTCTGGGGGCCAAGGCACTTAGTCAGTCTGCTGTGGGTGGGGAGGGGTTTGCAGCCTGCCCTGGTGGATGTGGGGCATCTCTGCCTCAGACTCTCTGCCCCAAGGGTGTGGGAACCTTGACCTCCAAATTTCCTGGCTAGACTCAGCGTGGACTAGAGCCATTGTGGATGCCAGGCCCCTCTGCTCTACAGGCAGAAAGCTTAGGCCCAGAAAGATGCTGTGCTTGTTCAAGGTCACCTGCGAAGTCAGTGGGACCTGGCAAGACATCCAGCCCAGTCTTCCAGGTCATGGCTGCTACCTGCTCTACCAGCTTGAGCTGTGAGAATGCTAGATGGGGCTCTGACAGTGTGAGCTCATGAAAGATTACCAGGAAGAGGTTGAAACCTGGCTCCTGGGAGGGAGAGGAGTGTGAGGCCTTGGCAGGAAGCCCAGCACTTGGCTGCCCTGGTTTCCTAGGGCTCAGGCACGCATGGTCACAGTCCACAGCCTGAGGTTGGGCTGGGAAGACACACCTGCCATAGTCCAGAGGGTAACGGGAGGGCAGGGAGAGCCCAGGCAGAGTGGGGCCAGGCTGAGGTGAGTGGCCTGGATGAGACTGGGGATGGGGAGATATGTTCTAGGACTCCACCCATTTGAGAGAGTAGTCTGAGTGCTTGGCCTTGATCCCTGAAATCCCTGAAAGCAGTTTACTGTGTAGTAATTTAAAAAGTAGAAAATTGAGGTCAAAGGCAGGAGAATTCACATATGTCAACTGAAAAGATTAACCGTGATTGTGATTGAGCTACATGGTTGGCTGAGAGCTCTCTGGTAGTCAGACCAGAAGGAGACAAAGGATGATGATTTCCTAGCACCTTCTAAGGGAAGAAGTAGTCGGTCACTCAGCACACCCAGACGGGACGCCAGCCGGGGGCTGAGCACAGAGGGAAGAGTGCGACAGCAAGGCTCCCGCTGCCACGGATTTGCATCTAGATGTGGAAGACGGAAAATGAAGAGGTAGCATCACCAAGAAGAGCATTCTGGAGAACACCAAGAGCTATGAAGAGGAGCAAGAGGGGATAACAGGGTGGTCAGGGGTGGGCCTCACGGAGGAGGTGAGACTGAAGAAAGGAGTAGGTGACCCTCATGGGGAGCTCTGAAGGAAGAATGTTCCAGAGTCTCAGGCCTGGAGCAGGGAGGGGACTTTGTCTCCTGAAGCGGGTAAGGATGCTTGGTTGGCCCGAAGAAAGAAAACACTGTACTGGTATGGGGTGCAGGCAGGGAGGTCACTCAGAGTCTCTCAGGCCACAGGGGGAGTATGGAGTTGGTTCCAGGCACTGCGGTCCATCAAGAGAGGGTTTTGAGTGAGAGAATGACAGGGTGTGACATGCCCAGTTAGACATCGTCTGGCGCCATGGGGCTGCAGCTCAGAAGCATCCCCCCCAACTCCCAGATGTCTGCAGTGCTTCTCTTCTCTTTCCTCGGCTGTGGGCACCCCGAGAGAGCCTGCAGGTCTCCCAGGCTACTCTTCCCTCACGGTTCTGTGTGACACCCACCTCACTCCCACCTCATTGCACTCTGCCCTCCACCCTGTTCCAAGGCTCATGCCTGGCCGTGCACACTGGGGTGGTCTAAAGGAGAAGCAGGAGCCTGATGTTTGCCAGATGATGTCCGTTCAGGGAAAGGAGTGTTTATGGCATGCCCCTTGTGTGCAAAGGCTCCGTGCAGGGGGGAGGTGGTTGAGTTCAGCCGGCACCGGGCTCTTGCCTTCCGCCTTCTTCTCCAGCTTGCCATGGAATGTGGTTAATGCTTTGCACTTGGTGCTGGGCAGGGCTTGGGGCACATCTATCCAGTAAGGACTTAGCACCATGCTCTGTGCTAGGTTGCTGCGGGACAGGATGAGACAAAGGAGAGCTAATCCCTTTCCTTAGGGAGCTGGCATTTAAGTGGGGGAGTCAGACAGTAAACATAATGATTCAGAAATGATATAGAAAGGATGTTAGAAGGTGCTCAGGGTGGTGAGGATAAGAAGGGACAGGAGGAAGGGAGATGGGGAGCGCTGGTGGGGAGGACAGCAATAAATCTGGAGTCAGGAAAGGGCTTGCTGAACTGTGATCAAACGTGACATGATCACAGACTGAGGGAGTGAGGAAGCATCAAGTGCCAGGGCCCCAAGGCAGAAGTAGCTCCAGAGTATCCAGTGACAGTGGGAGAGAGGGAGACAGCACCATAGCACGTGGAGGGCAGAAGTCCCTGGGAGATTCTCCAGGGAGTAAAATTCTTAGGGCCCCTCTCTCTCCATCTCTCAATCTCACCTGAGAGGGCCCCTCTCTAAAAAAAATGTTTTATTGCAGTAAAAGTCAAGTGACAACCATTAGCCATTTTAATTTTATCTATTTATTTATTTTTGAGATAGTTTCACTATGTCGCCCTCGGTAGACTGCTGTGGCGTCACAGCTCACAGCAACCTCAAACTCTTGGGCTTAAGCTATTCGCTTGCCTCAGCCTCCCAAGTAGCTGTGACTACAGGCGCACACCACAACACCCAGCTATTTTATTTGTTGCAGCTGATTAGGTGGCCCGGGTCGGATTTGAATCCGCCACCCTCAGTGTATGTGGCTGGCGCTGTAACGACTGTGCTACGGGCCCCATTATCATTTTAAAGTGTGCAATTCAGCGGTGTTTAGTCCGTTCTCAGTGTGCACCATCACCTCTGTCTAGTTCCAAAACATTTTTCGTCACTCCCAAAAGAAACCTTTCCCCTTGTTTAAGCAGCAGTGCCCCCTCTGCCCCCCATAATCAATAACCTGCATTCTGTCTCCAGATTCTCCTCTTCTCAGTGTCTCACATAAATGACATCATACAATGTGCGACCTTTGTGTCTGGCTTGTCTCACTTTGCACAATGTTTTCAGGGTTCCACCGTGTCCAGCATGTCTCAGGACCTCATTCCTTTTCATGGCTGAATAATCTGTACACCATACGATGAATTGTCCACCCATTAGTTTGTGGACATTTATTTCATTTCCACTTTCCACTATCGTGAAGAGTGTTGCTGTGGAGATGTGTATACAGCATCTATTTGAATACCTGTTTTCAAATAGGTATTGAACATGTACACATGTTCATGTTCACATGTAGACACAGGTACATGTCTGGACTATGTACCTAGGAGTGGAATTACTGGATCTATGGTAATTCTACGTTTAATTCTCCGAAGAACCATCAGGACAATTTCCACAGAGGGTTCCGATTTCTCTGCATCCTTGTCAATGCTTGTTATTTCTGGTTTTTAAGTTGTGGCCAGCTTAGTGATTGTGAAGTGGTATCTCATGGTTTGGATTTGCATTTCCCTAATTGAGCACATTGCTTTATATTTCATGTTGGCTATTTCTATATCTCCTTTGGAGAAACGTCTGTTGAAGTTACAGTCGGGTTGTCTTTTTGTTGTTGATTTGTAACTCTTTATATATTCTGGATGTTATATAATTTCTAAGTGTCCGCTCCCATTCTGGAGGTTGTCTTCTCAGTCTTTGGATAGTGTCCTTCAATGTGTAAAAATTTTTAATTTTTGCTGAAATCCAATTTATTTTTTCTTTTGGTGTTATATCTCAGAATCCATTGCTAAATCCAAGGTCATGAAAATTTACCCATGTGTTTTTCTTCTAAGAGCTTTATGGTTTTAACTTATATTTAGGTCTTGATAAATTTTGAGTTAATTTTTACGTGAGATGTGGAAGAAGAGTTCAGCTTCATTCTTTTCTATGTGGATGTCCAGTTCTCTCCATACCATTTGTTAAAGAGACTATTTTTTCCCTCATTGAACAGTCTCAGTACCCTTGTAGAAAATCACTTGGCCAAGATGCATGGATATATTTCTGGACTCTTAATTCTATTCATTTGATCTATATGTCTGTTCTTATGTGAGTATTGCACTATATTGATTACTGTCGCTTTGTAGTAAGTTTTGAAATTTGAAAATGTGAGACCTCCAATTTCATTACTTTTCAAGATTGTTTTAGCTATTTGGGGGTCCCTCAAGATTCCTTATGAATTATAAGATCGACTTTTCTATTTTTTTTTTTTTTTATGGAAAATGGCATTGGGATTTTGACAGAGATCGCATTGCATCCACAGATTGCTCTGGCGAGTATTTCTATCTTAACAATATTAGGTTTTTCAGTCCATGACCATGGGATGTCTTTCCATTTATTTAGATTTTCTTTAATTTCTT